TCTAATATTAACGCCATTCAGTATTATGAGATATTAGTTTTTAAGGAAGAAACTTCAATTATAAATAAATTTAAACTAAAAAATATAAAAATTATTAGCAATATAAACGGGGTCGCATATAATTATTATATAATTTATTTCGTTTTTACAACCCGCAAATTATTGCAGCGATTACCGCAAATGTATGAAAAATTTCGCATTTACGTCAATCAAACGATTGCAACTTTCATTATATAAAATATCGCTTCAAGATATGACGTCAATATGTATATATCCGTGAAAACAAACTAGATATTCCACCAAATTGCTAGCTTTAATAAAATTAGCTCTAGTCATGCGACTCTGACTCTGTTTACGCAACGCGAAAGCAAGACACACATACAAGTACACCGAGCGAAGCGTAATTGAAAAATCCATTATTTTTAATGGACAATTGTAAGATTTGTTGGGGAGTTGTGAAGTCGAGATTAAAAGCCTACATCGGGATTATGTAAATCAAGACGGGTATTAAACCCGGCGGGAAACTTGTGCGAAGTGCTCGAGTTAACAAAAACAAACAAAGTAATAAAACTAGCAAAAAATTACACATTTTATGAATAAACTAAACTAATTTACAAAGAATAGGAAATTTGCATTTTGAAGCTTAAATTTTTCTTCAGCCAATTATAATTTTTTGATGTAATTTTTAGCAGATAAACATGATATTTTATTTATTATGACAAATTTTAAATAATTTGAGGGTTTTATACACGAGTTATAGCCAAAAATCCCAAAAAGTGGTTGATACCACAATTTGCGCAATTTAAAAGCCTTAAGATAAATTAGTACGCAATTGATTGTAATCGATTCGCTCTCACCACTTCAATAAATCTTGGGAGCTCACACAAGCGATGAATTTGATTTAAATTCGCGAATTTACGAGCCATTGTTTGCCCCCGGGTGTGCGTAACGCGGTTGCGACAAAAAGGAAATGAAAAACAAGTTGAGCTTGGCATTTAAAGCAATTGCTAATAATGCACTTCAGCACGCCATATCGGATTCAACTATTTAACTATAACTATGATTGAATCTCAAATGCAACTTTTATCCTATAGAAACGGGCTGTCTTTAGGATTTTCCCGGCAATTATTAAAATTTTTCTTGCCGTAAAAACCATCCTTGGACTTTAACAATCATTTAAAAAAAAGAATTGGCCAAATTAGTCAAGGCGTTGTTGAGTTATGCGCTTACTAACAGATTTTGCGATTCATTTTTATATTATAGAAATTATACTTTCAGCAAGATGATTATAAGAATTATCATATTTACTAAAATAAAATGTTCTGAGAATTTGTATTATTATACTCTATTTATAGCTCTGAAATTATCGATATAAAAATATTCGTCTCAGATTCTGACTTTTTTGTCAGCTTTAAAAATTACTCGAAAATTCATTATTTTAATCACATTTCTACATAAATGATACAAAATATCAATTTTTATTGCCTACATTTTCCAGTTGAATGACTCTTATATTACAACAAAAAAAAACTTTCATTTTGTAATTTTGTAATATCGATGCTGATGTTACCATAATTATAATTTTTTTATTGATCAAAGTTTGTTCCATCTCGAGCGCCCGACTCTCGACTTTCTCATCGAGCATCAGAACAATCCAGTCTGCGTACATACTCTATTTTCGTTTATGGCATTCGGTCCATTGTTCGCGTTCATTACCATAAGAAGACCATATGGTTTTCAACACAAGACGAAAGCAGCGAAAAAATTGTCGGCGCGAGCACGCCGAGGGAAACAAAAAAGCGTACGGCTCACATCTTGCTGCTATCAAGACCAAGACCAACGACAACAATAATTGTATAAGGCGCTCGTCTGCGCACTTCTTTTTACTTCCTTGTCGTCGGCGGCCGGCGTCGTTAGTAATCTTTTCATGGTGCATTTAAATATGGCCACAGCCTTCACCACCACAATGTATGACCTTGAGACCTAAGGGTGCAATGAACGATAATTACAAAAAAATATTATGCTGAAAATTTTAGGGTTTCAAATTATATTCTAACATGATTCTTTTTTTGTAATATTAAAGCCTTATTTTTTTGGTTAATATTATTAAAAACACCCTGTATCTCCTTGAGACACAGACATAATAATTTTTTGCAATTTCTGCGTTCTTCATTTTCTTATAAGAGTGTTATTATTACGAGGGGTTGTTGAGCGCGCCGCCCCTTACGCAACGAGAGTAAAGTTGGCGTAGCGCGATAACCGGTTGCTCCCTGCGCCTTTGCGCCTACATAACGAATAATAATTCGTAATATGCGGTGATAACACTGTCGAGTTCCTAGAGCTGATTAAGCCCTACCGTTCTCACTACGCAAGAGGGTGCGAGGGTAGCACGTTAATAATTAGCGGATTACTAATTAGAGACATCATTATCGCACTTAAATTTCTAGTGAGTGAAGAATAACAATTTCACGGTCAACGTCATAGATGTAATAATTAATTAGTTTTTGCCAAACTTATTTGAAAAATGTACACAAAATGCTTGTAAAATTCAACAAAAATTTATTTAAATAAATTTTAAATAAAACTTGTTTGATTTTTAAAATTAAATGTATATAGATGTTAAAACATGTCACGAAGAACATAATAAAATAACACACACGGTGCCTAGCACAATATAAACTCAACAATGATTTACGAGCATGCACGTTTAACATTTTTACATTGTGATAATAACAACGCAAAGTTTCGTGGGAGGTCCGGTGTATGATAAATATCCATTCAGACTCGAAGTGATACATTCATAATTTATTGTGTTTTAATTAAAACCGTTGCTTTTGAAAAACACTGAAATCTTTACTTTTAACCTAACCATGATTTTCATTCATTCATGTGTATGACTGGTGGTCTATACTATACCTACTCTAGTAATCTTGATCAGTTGAAATTGATTGTTTGTTGTGGAATGTTTGTTTGGCTTGTGATTGTTGTATTAAACAACGATACGCCGAATCACGTTTATCTCTCGGACACACCGACTCGCGGTAATCCCATTATCGAATTAAAGGCAGCACGCGTCGCGCACGCGAATCGAATAATTGATTCTATCAATCAATCACTTTTACGCCGATCCTGCCAATTTGTCTATTCGCCAAATGAATGACTTGATGCTTCAGCGAGCGTGAATGCTTATCAGCAAACATGCCAAGTCATGACACTTTTACTATGCGTCAAGCGCATGTGGTTAGTATTTAATAACTATTGAATATCCTTGCTGTATGCATATTTATAACATCCGGTGAGTCGGAAGTAGATAACAACCCTTTTCATCGTCGGTTTTATCAACGGACGTGTGTCCTTGATGATAATAAACGTGTTATTATTATTGTGCTTAAAAGTTGGCGGCATTATTACTCACAGACAATAAAATTTCGCTGTCTAGGCTTTAGAATTCTATTTTACGGTCGAAAAAAAAACACTCTGGTTCCCTTTAAAGTGAATAATAACATTAAATCGCAATCGTTAAATAATTTTTATTTCCATAATTAGATTTAGAACATTAGCATTAATCTCGTGCTGGGTATAATAAAGAAATAAAATAAACACGCGCTCGCGAAACTAAATAAAAAAATAGTTTCGCCATGAGTAAATATAATTAGCACTAGAAACACCAACATAATTTATTTGGTTGTCTTTATAATACTTATATGGATTATAAAAAGCCCTCCGGTCAACCGGCGAATGCCCGGGGGACTTTTAATAATATGTTATAATAATGTTATAATAATGGATCGGTTGCTTTAGGAGACGCGCGCCGCCGCCGCGCCATAATAAGGGCAATTGATTTATAACTGTTTTATTACGTTGTTTGCGGTCTTGCGAATGACACGCACACAAACAGAAAGCAGAGAGAGCCACAAACCCGGAGAGAAAAATGATATTTGGCGTGCGCGCTTTTGTGCGTACTGAGTAATGTCGGCGAAAACAATAAGAATCCGGCGATGGGAGAAGAAAAGTTTTCAAATTCCGTCGTGCGTCGGACACGAATTGTCGATTAGCGGGCTGATTTACAGATTTCTGACTATTGATTAGGATTACACGCGTGTAACGTAAAAAAAAGAAGAAGAAAAGAATAGAGAAGATTGTTACCAAAATGGATTGATTTACTATTTTTAATCCGGGCAACGGACAACGCACTCATGAAGAAATAATTATAGGTTTATAACTATTTCTAATTTATATTCTAACTGTCTTAGATGATATGCGATAGATTAAAATTACGTGAAGTATCTATACTAGTGAGAATTGAAAGCATGAGTTTTTTTTCTTGTCTATAAATAAATTTCTCGATAAATTAAAACAATACATTAACAATTACATTATTTTTCAATTGAAAGTTTCTTTCGAAATTAGCATGATTCGATTATCTGATTATTACTAAGTAATAACGACTCATATTTGTTTATTTCCAGTTTATTTTGAAAAATTTTATTTGCTTTATTGCTACTTGAAATACCAATAATAAATTAAAAATATTTTTCTATTTAATTTAATGGTCCATCTAATCTAATAAAAATGGTTATCATTGCTTGTTGCATTACCAGTAATTATAATAATTAATTAATTAATTAACTACCAAAACGTATTAAATCAAGCCGTATCTATTTTAAAATTACAGGAAATTTTTAAACACAAAGTTTTATTTTATTTTATCGAAAATATTCGAAATGCGAAAATTCTTTGGTAGAATACAGTAGCAATTATTGAATGCATTGTTTACGCGCATTTAATTAAATAATTATAACGATTGAAAGTTCATGTCTGCGCCACTGATTGTTTTGTAATATTTGCAATAATAATTAATATCTCCATTATTATTTTGTGCATCTGCCAATGTATATAATTTAATTAATTTCTTCGAATAATAATATTGCAGATATTTATTTTGTTCTGACTCCACTTATATCTAATTAATTAGTTTTAGGTTGGCAAAACCAAATTACCTTATGTGATGTTTTCAAAACAATGTTGAACACTAAATAATTTAATTCAAATGTTACACTTTGTCGAAGATGTTTAGTCGAACGTGACAAACTTATCAAAGTCCTTAAAACTTGTCCGTTTAGCGTCGGCACATATCAATTTTCAGCGCCAACTAAATCTGCGCAAACCTCTTAAAAGTTGTTTGTAATCTTTGAAAAGTAATCGTTCACACACGTCTCCCGATGTTAAATGTTTCGTCGCGCGTTGGTAGTGATGTGTGGCGTCGCGACGACGTCCCTTGCTTCACTAAAGCGCCGGCTTGCCGTCTAATAACAGAACGCGCGCGTCCGAAGCTGCGTGAAGCCGCGCGGAGAGTAGGCTCTGTCCGTCGGAACCGGCAATCGGCGGATTAATGTGTGTCGTTAATTCGCGACGGCGGCGTCGGTGGCTGTTGGTTTGTTTCCCGCGGCGTCTTCGCTGCGTTTTCGCGCTCAGGCGTCGCGCGCGCGTGTGTTGATCGGTCGGTGCGTCGCGGAGTTATGCGGCGGAGAGCGCGCCAAGTCGTCGACCACCGCCGCCGTCCCAAGCGTCCAGGCACCGCCCCCCAAAAACAACGCACCACCACAACTTGATTTTTTTTCTTATTTAGAATGTAAACATATCCTTGTTCTTTTTTCTCGCGCGACTTTTTTTTAAGTTTGGCGGTCTGATTAATTAAGTGCGGCTTTATCAACAATCGCACGTGTAGATGTTGTAAAACCAACAAATCATTAGTAAAACATTTCAAAAGCGATGAAAACATTCGTTAGCGTAATTAATTAACGGATTGAATTCAAGCGCCGTGTATCAATTGTCTGAATCTCTCTTGATAAGCATAAATAACGAATATTCGTAGAGTAAAAACTAACGAACGTTATTTTCTCCAGTAAATTGAAATCAATTTGATGCGAATGCGGCGTGCGGAGAATGTCCATTTATATGTTCATGTGTTGTGCGTGTATATCTCCAAAGTGCCTCAATTAACATTAAAAATATATAAAATATAATTAGGTATTAAATTTTACAACCCGCGGACTCGTGTCATCCAGTAAATCGAGTAAATCGATGATTTCGAACACGGCGACTCTTCGACGATTTGTAAAGAATGCGTGGAATTTTCTATTAGTCAACTTAACTTCGCAGCGATAATAAATTTTTACTTGTCAATACAAACACGTTCTCAAAAATAGTTTTTCTGGGTTGCTACGTAGAGTAATTATTTTTTTCTGCTTCCACCTTTAAAGCGTTAGTTTTTCCACGGTTTTTAGACACAAAAAGTGGTACTTTATATACGGACGGCCAAGCCGTACATAATATTCATTATGTACTTGCATTATGCACGGGACGGAGCAAGCGCCTGCGCATTTGCCTACGGAGCAGCACAAAGCGGTATGAAATTCTATGCGACGTCAGTCAAACACGTCAAAGCAGGCGCTGCTGCTGCTCGTATCGGAGGGGTACAATATGAACCGAAGCGTCACAAGGGCCGATGCGCGGCATGGCACTTATAACCATACAGTTTATATAAGTGTGCGAGCAAATTTCGATGATTTAAAATACAAAAATACAAAAATTGCAACGTGGAACTAGAGTGGAAATAGAAAAAATAGCGTAAGCAGCTCGTGGCTAAACGTTGTTAAACACTCGATTGATTAAACGCTCGCTCATAATCAATCGCGTGAATAAAACTCCCGTTTAGCCACTTGATACTTAATATACTATTTTTCTGCTGGTGCTTTCATTTTACTCACTCTTATACACATTTCAAAACAATATAAAACAATAAATCAATACGAAAATTTAAACTTCTATTTTATAACAATTTTGCTGGATGTATGGAAAATTACTTCTTATTGTGTTGATGAATACATAAAAGTCATAATGTTAATGCCAACTAATTAATATGAACGTTTATCGCCTAACATTAACAATTAATTTTTGAGTCCCAGGAATAATTAAGTCCTAGAAACGAGGATACAAAACGTCACATCATAGCCAACCAAAGCACTGGAGCTGCAATTAAGAACTCTTTTCTTTTTTGTGCTGTCTTAGGCGAGTAGACAAATGGAAGCGGAAAGAATTTTTACTCGAGAAGACCAAATTACACGGCGGTCGTAAATCTCGCGTTAATTTCCATCGGTACGGCGACGTGCTCATAACGGTCAATTAATTTTGATTAATTAATTACACCTTTGTGGCCGCCAGCGCGGTCCTCCACACATGCAGTCTCAACTCAATTAACAAAATTCATTGCTAAACTACAATTCAATAAATGCAACATGTTCTGCTTAAGTTGTTGAGTGTTGAATTGCTAAATCTTATCGATTGATAATTGTTATTGACAGCTATTTGACTACCGAAACGCGTTGTGAATGCCTCGTGAGTATTGAATGTGGGGTAATAAATTGAAGCCGGTGCAATCATTATTTTACGAGCGCCAGCGCGGCTGTAAATCCGGGCGTGCGAATCGTGCGAATAACTCCGGTGTGTTATTTGGAGCTGTAAAGAGCGTCGGTAATGTGTCGGTAATATGATATTTAGTGGCCGATGCAGTAACGCGCGCCACGGGGGCATTCGTGCAACAGGTAAAACGCATTTGTGTGCACTGTGCTGGGCAAGGGAAGCACAGGGCAAGTGGGCAATGTCGGCAATAAAACGCGAGCCAGCAAGCGGTCGACACGGCGAGAACTCATAATGCGATTTTGGCGAATAAACTGCGATGGTTATGACTTAATTTGCTTCAGATAATGTCTTTTTATGAAATCAACATATAAATAACATTCACGGCCGAAACAGTAGAGTAATTGCATAAGCTGGAGTTTAAAAATCTTTAGTTTGTAATCACCGACATATCTATAATATAAAAATGAATCGCAAAGTCTGTTGGTAAGCGCATAACTCAACAACGCCTAGACCAATTTGGCCAATTATTTTTTTAAATGTTAGTCAAAGTGCAAGGATGGTTTTGACGGCGAGAAAAATTCGAATAATTGCCGGGAAAACCCTAAAGGCAGCCCTTTTCTATATGAAGAAAATTGGCATTGAGATTCAATCATAATTATAGTTAAATAGTTGAATCCGAGATGGCGCGCTGAAGTGCATTATTAGCAATTCTTTATATAATTAATTTCTTTAAAATATAATTGCGAATCTTATTGATTGAATTGACACATACAATGTATAGAACAAGAGAGTAAAAACGAATTACATTTTTATTAAACAATACCGGGACGAAGTCTTGGACAGAAGATTTTAATCGTGATATTTTCGTCAAATCACAAAAAAATCTTGTGTTTTTGATGATCGCAAATACCTATACCTATTTTAATATAGTGTACAATGTGCTGCATGCATTGTTTTGACAGAACTATTACTCTGCACGACAAACAAAGCCGTGCTTCTTTTATTTGCAGTTGAACAACTTTAGTATTGTTCCTGCAACGACTTTCCGCAGAATGCGCTTGGAAGGCAAACATGCGCTGCCGTCGCCAGCAGAACGTATTGTAGTTGTTCTTTGCCGCAAATAAAGTTGTCTGCTCGATGATTTGCTAAGTCGTCGCTGAAGCCACACTCCAACTTGATTACATCTTCAGCCCTCCTGCGAGATGCACAGCGCACAAAGCGCTTGCAAAAGTGCAGCAAAGCGAGGAAAAGTCGCGCGTGGTCTTCTTGCATTAGAAATATTAATAATTCAGCGGCGAGTGCGGAGCGGACACAAAGCAAATGTTGGTATAACTTATACATCCCCCAAACCACTTCCATCGCCAACCCTCGATGCTTTTATCCGCTGCGCGTATTATTTACGGCTTTTTTATTCATGCCTTGCTGAAATACCAAAGGTTAGACTTTGAGGTTATTTCGACCTGTGAAACAGAAAAAAAAATGCGCAGCAGAAAAAGTATATTGAAAAAGTGCGCGTCAAAGCGACGAAACTCGAAAGTGTCGTCAACGGAAATCAGCGAGCAATTGAATTGCAAAGCTGATTGTCTTTGAGCGCTTGCATCTTGATCAACGTGCTCGGCGAAAAAATTCCTCGTGGATTAATTAACATGCGGGACGCGCGCTGCGAGTGTGACGCGTTCGTTTGCACCAATGCTAATCGCTTACTTAAGTCGCAGTCGCTTAATGTACGCAATGGCGCCTAACAGTTTTCTCACCTGTATAACTTCAAAGCAGGGCTGTTGACGTAATAAATAATTTTCATCACTTATGTCATTCAAAATTTAGGTTTTATGCGTTGCATCATCTGTACGCTCGATTTTATTGTTGAGCGACGAGACACCAAAAGTGCGCAAGTTTTTCATCAAATTAAGTGCCAACTTTACGGTGGGCTAAGCATCTTCGACGAGCTTTTAACAGACGCGCTCCGGAGATGTTCCGCTTTTGTTCGCGGCCACAGGGGGTGAAAAGTCGTCGGGTTTAAGTGCGTCGCGACGCAAGTGATGACTACTTGTGGTGGCGCAATTCACGTCTACGACTGTCATAAACCTCTCACGAAGTTATTCGAGTACCTCACAAAGCACATAAAAATATCATTTCCTAATTACATTTTTAGCTGCACTAATAATTTTTGTACTTTTGTTGCTGTAAAACACATGTTTATTAAATCTATTAATTTAATTAAATTAAAATCAGTAATTTACTATGTACAGTTATTTATTTATATATTCAAATCGTAATTTAATTTTAAGTGAAGATAATTTGAATGACCCGATTCAAGTTTTTTTTTCTTTACACATAAACTTTTAAATTGTTCGAGTTAACAAGTAGCAAGCAAAAAGAATGCGCGGCGCACGCTTTTAAACGTTCGTATCAAATTTCTATAAATTCCGATTACGCCTCGTTGCGAGATTTGAACAAAAATTGAGAATAATTCTCGTGGAAATCGTTTTATTTATAGTCGTTGTAAATCACGCCGATCCGACACAAATAAAGACGCCATCGCGTAAATCATCCCGAGCAAGACAACCAGCTACACACTCATCGACTTGAAGAAAATAAAAATGAAAACACTGAACTTATAATTATTACATTTTTATTTTTAATCAAAAACTTTATTTTGCTTATTCTGTTTCGGCGACTAATTAAAACTTTATTAAGAGTGATTGAATTGCTTAATTTGATTATTGATTTACTTAATTTTATAAAATAAAAATGCGTGTGACTTGTGTACGACTGGTTACATATAGTTAACTAGATCGTGACGTGGCATATAATAGTGATGTCTTGTTTTCAAAGAGCAATTCTTTATTCTTGAATTATGGCCGAGCGTAAATGTCATGTTAGTCATGTAGTGATGTAGTGAATGCGTTTTCGTTTCGCTTCTAATTATTATAATGAGTGTGGAGGACAGTAGCAGCCATATATCAGTTTCATCGCACGAATTATTCACGTCGGCGACGTGTGTGCGCTCACGTTGAATTGAGAAAGATGTTGTGCGACTTGAAACTTGGTCAACTCCCAAATCGTGTATCACAGTTTATCGGTCTGGAGTATTTAAACGCGGTAGGGACAGGAAATTAACAAATTGCCTACTTAAAGTCATTATAATCGATCTTCATGACTGGTAGCTCTGATTGAAAACTAATCGTACAGTTGTCATTTTTTAGTATTTTTATTTTGTTACAGTTGAATCTGGTATTTTTTAACTTGAATTTTAAGTTGTTTTAAGCAGAGAGTAACATAGATTAATACAAAAAATGTTTATGCTAAGCTTTCAAGCGGAAAATTTGAGCCAAAAATTTCGAACGTTTAGTACTCACGCACGCAACTTAACAGACTGAACATACACACACATTAAAGATATGCACGAAATTAACTTCTTCCTCAAGTTCAAGACGATCGCGCGTTTTGCTTGAACTAAAAATACACACTCGACGTTTTTGACCCGCAAAATTAAAATACAAATGTGTTAATTATGAGTTTTAAAAAAAGGAAGCGAATATTGTTATCTTAATGTAGGAAATAATAATTTTTTTTAATAAAGTCAAAATTCGGATAAATAAATACACTAACGGTAAAAATATACAAAGTGTGCAAATATTATTATCGAAGATTATCATTAACAAAATATTATAATTTCAATTTATAGCAAATAAAATTTTACGACATTGATAAACTTTACCTTGAAAGAATTTCAACTTCGGAAAACGTCTGATGGTTAAATATTTGTTTGGCGATGCTCTGCCTATCATTGACACGCATATTGACAGCGAATTAAAAACTGATTATTTACGAGCTGATAGAAACGGCCGATAAATTAGAAGTTAATTAATCAGAAGCAATTAATTTCATTCGCGGTTCAACTGGCCACGCACCCAGTGTGTATCTCTTTTATTTTTATGTTTGCTATCGCCCACATTTAATAAACTACTTTGTTTGATCTGCGATAAAAATCGATACAACAGTAGTATTTTTGGGAATGCGTATTTTTAGAAAAGGCACGTAACAAGAGTACCTATAACCAAAGATGCATAAAGTGGATTGACGCTAAACGATTTATAGGGGTTTTCGTTGACTGTTGCGCCGTTGCGGGGATTTACACATTTTCTTTACCAAGAAACATAAAAGTATTTTATTTTATTTTTAGAATTTTATTCGGCATGTAACAAAAATGTTTTTTATTGTGCTTAAATATGCAGAAAATGTAATCTGCGTAATGTAAGTAATGCTGAAAAATAATTGAATTTAAGCAGTCACGACATTTATTGCTTAAGAATCAAAATAAATGCAATAATTTTGTGTATGTTTTTATTCTACGAAGATAAACGACAATGTCTTTGCACAGTCTATGGAATTTCTTCGTTTTACTTCATCGTATGCATACTGGTAGTTTGCCCAAAAATGGTAAACGGGAGCGAAGCGTCGAACGTGTTTTCGCCTCGCGTCTCCCGCAGTTCGCCGCGGCCGTCGTACCGTTTTGGCTTCTTCGGTGTTTCGAACACCGCGAACTGCAAAACTATGCCCGACGCGAACATCGAACAGTCTGAAGTTGCTGGCGGTGCGTGTTAGCGAGAGACTACAATGGAATTTTTAATTAATCGACGCGACTATCATATATTATGACAGCACCTGATTAGCTCTTTGATTGAACCTTACCTTTTTTGCGGCGGGCGATTCATAATTATATCTCGCAGACTTGACAGCACGAAACTAATTATATAATGTTGAATGTATCAATACAATGCAAATCACTTTATTACTGGCAACCAACATTACGAGCATTATCTGCGATTTTTTTGTTTGCATTCATTATTAAGAAAAGTTCACTTTTTCAATTGCAGTTAAGAAGTAAGTTGCTCGTTAGTGGAAAAAATAAAAGTTCTAGTTGATTTCGCAGTTGCTGGCTGGCTGGAATCCGGATTATTTTCCAGAGAAGCGATTAATTAGTCGCAAAAAGACCCGCAATTGTTTTATTTCCTTATTTCGTGGTATCGTAAACAATTTATGATTAGTTTTCATGGAATATTCTAATTGCTTGCTTAAGTACACAATGAATAAAACAACTTATTTAGCTGTGTGTGTCTTCTACAAATTGAATGTTTTTGCTTCGTGAATTTCAGTTCAGTCGCCTTTTCGGTTGATCGCAATCGACTACTGATAACAATTGTCAAAGGAATTAATTTGCGCGATTCCAGCTCGCTGGACAATATTGTCTTCTAGTTGCAAAGACAGTTCGTTACACTTTGCTGCATGTTTACTATAGAGACTTTTCGAAGGCCGGAAAGCAAAGGGTATCAATCATCCCTTCAAGCTGAACAACAAACAGAACCTGTTGGATGTAGCAAACAAAGATAAAGCCGGTTTTTTTTTGGTTTAAATTTAATTGGGAACATATATGCCAGGGGGTGACAAAAACAAAGTTCGTTCACCGACCGGCGGACGTGCAAAAAGTCCCAAAGAGACAATTATCTACACTTTTTTTGTGTACTTTGAAGGGTAGCATTGACTTTGTGATGTCTCAGAAGTTACAGTTTTTCTCACTTTGTGCTACGCAGACCGTAAAATTAGTTAATTATCACTTTAATATTTTTTTAATGCGCATGTGTAGTGCGAAATAGTGTAATTCAATCGCAATTAACGTTCGAAAATCGTCAATTAAATCGATTTAATTGAATGCCTCGTTGTGACACATATCAAGTGGCGTCTCTGGAGCGCCGTTAAATTTTAATTGCAATCAATCGGAAATTTATTGCGGTAATTAAATTGAAGTTCCTTTTACGCATGCGCGAAAGAAGATATGGAATTGAAGAACAGTGATTTGAGTTATTTAACTCTATCGTTGTAATTTAGAATTATCTGTTATTCTGCAAGTTGCAACATGCGGCGGAGATAAGTATAAATTCATTTGGTTCCGGTAGTATTCAATCTCTACACAAACCCTAGGAATATCTAATTGGGCTAATTTAGCGCAGCCATTAATTGAAAATAATATCAGCAATTATATTCATTATTTTACTTATGTTATCAAATATGAAGTTTTTTATTACTTTGTTTATCTTTTGAATGTTTGTTTCTTCATTAATATGATATTGCATGGTTGTTCTACTATAGGCAACCAAAATATCATTAACAAGAGCTCTTTGTATTCTTAGTTGCCTATAGAAACTTTTCGCTGTCATTCCAATCATATGGCGCTATTCACGCTGTCAATGCAACGTCTGGCGTTGTCGTTGTCGTTCTTATTGGGGCAAGAAGCAATCGGTGTGTGGTTATTGAACTTGAGATTGGGGACGTCGATACAAACGATAAACTTGCCCAAAACGTCAATGTGTCGTGCCGCGTCCGGAAATTACAATAATGTGGCAATTTGAATGTGTTCCTTATGCGAGTACCATGGATGAAAACAGAAAACGAAGACGTGTTATTAGAGGGCTCCGATGACGTGATTGTATTTCAACTACAGCGCCGTATACGCACACAATAAACGGGTAATTAGGCATGCGAGCATTTAAATCACGAAAATGAATCGCATTATTCAAATGATGCGATTTAGGCGTAATCACACGTCTTCGGCGGTTAGACGGACAGCTTGACCCACATGTCGTTGATCCCAGGGTAATAGGAATATCATTTACAATATCGTACACGCCTATCCGAAATGGTTGTTAATTTGATGCATATTTGTATAATTAAGTACAATTAAAAAAAACGAGTTGGCTGCTTAATATTTTTTATCCTAACGTCAATCATTGTACAATTTTTTATCAACATGAGTGCGACTCCTGAAAAATCTTCTCTGAACCAAAGCACAAACTCACAATTTCGTCCGAGCCATATAAGTTTCGGCCATTGGAGTGTGAGTGCCGCTGGCTATCGCCGCCTCGAAGAAGATTTGAATGCACCCCTTCTGCAACCTCGTTCCAGTATCCTTCTCCCGCATTTACAACAATCAGAAAAAAAGTTCTTTGAACTTGTCGCCACTAATGATGTCGACGAAGTGCGTCAATTCCTTGATGAAAATCCAGGCTTTAATATCAACTGCGTCAACTTTCAAGGTGTCTCTGCTTTACACATTGCCACCCAGAACAAATCGGAAGCCATGGTTGAATTTTTGCTTGAACAGCAAAACATGGACATCAGTGATTGTGTTCTGCATGCGATTCGAGACAATCAAATTAAAATTCTTCAAATGTTGTTGGATAAACTGCAAGAGACAGCTCCAGGGTTAGAATTTGTCGGTGTCACACACAGCTCAGACTTTCCCGATCATGTGACACCGCTGATTTTAGCAGCACAATGTGGACATTTCGAGATAATTGAATTACTCATTGAACGTGGACATAGGATATCAAAACCACACCCGCCCGAATGTAGATGCACTGAATGTATATTACATTTACAACATGATGATTTGTTACACGGTGAAACTTTGAGGTTGAATTTATACCGAGCTATTACAAATCCCGCTTATATCTGTCATTCAACTCATGATCCCATAGCAACCGCATTTGAATTGTCTAGTGAATTGAATCAATGTGCTATGATGGTTCCAGAATTTCGCAATTGCTACCGAGAGCTAGCTAATGAGATATCTGCATTTGCTGTAGAGTTAATAGCTTGCTGTAGAAGCACTGAAGAAATGGATCTTATTCTGAGACAAAAGACTGGCGATACCAGCCCGGGCTTATTGTTTCCCCGACTTGTTATGGCAATTAATTACAAGCAGAAAGCATTTGTTGCGCATCCGAATACTCAGCAAATGGTAGAGTCTGTGTGGCATGCTGATTGGTACGAGTGGAAGTACAAGCATGTAATTGTACGAAGTTTGTATCCAATTGCGCGGTTAATTATCCTTCCTCTGATTGCTTTAATGTGCTTGGTAATGCCAAAGCACTATTGGGTTAAACACTGGAGTATTCCTCTCAACAAGATGATTACACACAATGCATCTTACTTGCTGTTTTTGGTTTTAATCTTCCTAGAATCCAACCAAGATAAAACAGGACAGAAACGTGGTCCACCCAATACTGGTCTTGAAGTGTTCATTGTCTTATACGTGTTTGGTTATGTATGGGGTAGTTTTCGTATGTGTATGATTAAAGGTCCTCGTAGACACTTTCAATCGCTGTGGAACATATTTGATGTGTTTATGTATATACTATTCTTGGCTACGTTTTTCTTCTGGTTGGCTTCCTACATGGATGTATGTCAGAATGATCAAGCTGACTTGGAACGCAAATACTGGCATCACCTTGATCCTGTGCTTGTTGCAGAAGGATGTTTTTCAGTGGCGGTTATAATGGCATATTTCCGATTGTTGATTCTATTTCGATTGAATTATTATCTTGGACCACTACAGATTTCGCTTGGGAAGATGAGTGCTGACATTGCCAAGTATATAACAGTCTTTGCCCTATTGTTAATTGCATTCTCAGCGGGTATGAGTAGGTTCTATCAAGCCTATGATGGTATGGTTCAAACTGATGATAATGGAATCAAGACTGCGCAGGTTGGTTCTTTTGTGAACTTTTCTGCTGCGTTAAAAACGTTCTTCTGGGCATTGTTCTGCATGGCTCCATTGGAATCTGCTGATGTTATCATTGAAAACCTTCCGGGGGAAAAAGACAAGACTACGATTACTAATCATCATGAGTTTACCGAAGTGGTGGGGTACATTGTTTTTGGTATATTTGAGGTGCTCAGCGTGATTATGCTCCTCAATATGCTGATCGCAACGATGAGTAACACGTTTCAGCGAGTAACTGACAATGTGGACGTGGAGTGGACGTTTGGAAAGACGGAGTTTTATATTGAGTATATGAATCAAACTATTTTACCGCCGCCGTTGAATTTAATACCTACGGCACAGGGCATTGCGGCTGTCATTGAGTGGATTCAAGTAGCGAGTAAATCTACGCCGGGAAAGGTCGCGCGCTGTAATGTTAATCATTGTTGTTACATTGAATCGGAGGTAGATGAACATATTGCCAAGGACTTTCCAATTTTGATGTCGCAAATTGTGCAGAGGTACTTTAGAGAGAAGGATGCAAGTGCTGATAGTGCTGGAGATGATTTGGAGTTATTAAGGAATGATATTGCTGAGCTACGACAACTTTTAAAGGGGTCCTCTAATGCTACTATCGGTTAATTTATAATTTACATTTATTATATTTACATTTACGATTATAGGGTATTAATGCACAAACAAACAAGTGTACTGTATATTATCATTGGCATGCACTAAACACACACAAACACTGCAACGTTTTATTTGAATTAAAATTTCGATATTCCGATATTAGTTTAAAACGTAGGTAATTAAATTCTATATTTAAATATTAACAGTTACAGAATTATATCCGGATGCAAATCGGACAATTGCGTTTTAACAAAGTTTTTGCGGTATTTTGGTGCAATGCAAATTAAACTATAAAAAATAAATTCTTGAATATATTTTTTTTGATAATCGAACTTATCACACGTACCTTTATTTAACAATTGACCAACAAATTTTCTATTAAATAATTCAACATTAACGTAACGTTGCCGCCACAAGAGCGGGTAAGTACAGAAAATGTTGGCTGGTAAACTATATATAATTGAAAAAATGACAATAAGGATGATAAAAAAATTTAATCTCAACCGTTCAACTTTCTAAGCCCTTTACCCTCTACATATCCTTTGAATTCTCTGAAACCCCAAAAATACCCTGAAATTTCCGGAAATAATACAAAGTAAATATTTTAAAATGATGAAAAATTCATCTAATTAACATAAATTTAGCGGAGGTGTCTGTTTTAATTAGTGTTGCAATAAATTATTGGCAACTAATAATAACATACAACAGAGAGGTATTCAATCACCTTATTTCCAAACTTTCCGGTTAATTAAACTAACAATTTACCCTAGAGAAGCCCGTAAATGCAACTTGTACTCAAAGCAGTACTTAATTTCTAATTAGCTCGGAAACTAATAAAGATATTCAAAAACATAGAGCGCGTGCAGAGTACTCGTAATATTATAAATAAGATTCCTACGGAAAGTAATATAGTTGAAGAAGAATTTTCTGCATTTTGCTTCATGTCATGATAAGAATCTATAAAATATTTCAGTGAAATCAAAATCGACCAAATAAAACTACAATTCGGATTTTCACTAAACTTTCTAAACTCCTGTAAAATAATACCAGAAATTTATCAATTTAAAAGTTGATATAATAATTAGTTATCAAGTTATTTACTATTTTTATTAATTACGCAAGATTAGTAAATTGAAACTTTTCAATTGTCATAATTGAATTACGAATCTCAATTAGCACTCTGAATACTATTTTTCTTTAACTTTAATAGAATTGGGTGGTGTATATCTACATGTGTGCAAATATAACTTTTAACCTGTCATTCGTTTAAAAAATATAAGAAAGAAGAACGTCTATTACAACTTTTTATTTAGGAACATTATTAAATTACCCACATTTAGTTAGCTCTTCAATCCGGATCTCTGATGCACAACTCACTGCCTATGGGAGCTCTATACGACGGATCAAACAATTGGAAGTACCAAATAGTATATTAAGTATCCAAATTTAATAACGTTTAGGGACGTGAATTTTTCTACTTCCACCCTATTTTCACGATTAGGTTTTAGTATTTGCGAACTGCAAACGGACTTCGCGGGAAATATTAGGTTACATGGCTACTTAGAAGTTTGACTCACGTTTGACTTGGCGCATATTTCATACGGCCTTGTAATACACCGTAGGTAAATGCGCAGGCGCAAGTTGTATCAGTGACTAAAGTGCTACTTTGCGGTAGAAATTCAGCATATTGGGATACCTATGGTTCACAAGTAGATTTACTAATTAAATTCAATAATTGTGATATATTATAAACATACAATCCCAAGTACAAGTTATTCATATATTAATTACAGTAGTCCAAATAGAACATTAGTAGGAATTAATAACTTATTCATATAATTATAAAAAATACCCAAAAACCGTGTGAACAGTTAAGAATATAGTGCAATGTAAACTTTCCTCGCCTCTTCTGAACAACCAACCATTCAAGTAAGTTTAAGTAGCACATTAAAATAGTAATACTATTTGCGTGGCGTGCCCACTGGGCTCTCTTGGCGCAGCCTCTCCACGTCGTTGAATATTACCTGTGCACCACCCCCGCACGTTTTTACAATATCACCTTTGTAAACTTTCGTTTCCACCTCGCCATCAGTATCTGCTTCTTGTGCAATAAGACAATACTTGCTCTGTTTCGGATTTGTAATATCCCCAGCTTTCTTCAGCGTTGTAACCGACTTGCGTTTCTTGATAGTTGGCTGCAAAACTGTCCCGAGGGGTACAGGCTTGATGGAGTTATGCTCGAGCCAAACCTCACCAACAGAACGAGACCTCCTGCGATTAGCAACTACAATTCTTGTACGTCCACTGTGCATAGATTGCACTTGCGGGGTACTCGGTGGATGTCTCGGAGTCTCGACAACTTCGGGCATTTCTACATCGTTGTTCATATCTAGACTTTCCAAATCAACATCTTGCTCCAAGACTGCCTTGACTTTCTGTAATTTAAGCTCTTTAGCCATGCATGCAGCATTGTAGTGCTCCCGTTGTCTGCGCAGCTTATCATCCAACTCTTGCGTCATTTTCTCCTGCCGCATCACCATCTTTTGTTTCTGCTTTTGTCTATCGACAAGATTCTGATTAAGTTTCAAGTCTTTTTCGTCCAAATTGGTTTTCAGACGCTTTAGATCAGTATTCAACGCGCTATTCTTTCCTTCTAAATTATCGCAGAACTTTTCCATGTCTAAAACTTTAACTTCTAAGTTTTGACCACGTTTCTTTTCCTTCTTGAGCTGAATCTGTGCATTTTTCAAGTCAGAACACTTGATAGTATAATCTTGATTCATCTCAATCAAGCGTTTGCGCAGATGTTGCTCTCTGGACAATAAATCACGATTAAAAACGAGACTTTTTTGTCTCCTCGTAACTAAAATATCTTCTAATTTGTTCAACGTATGTTCGTACACATCCAAATTTTCAATATCCAGTTTAAATTTGGGAATTTTTGGACCGAAAACCAATGGCGCAGCCATTTTAATTCTTGAAGTTGCAACATTTGCTTTCACTGTTGATGGTGTCTTCATATTAACTTTCTGCACACGTTTATATGGTGTATATCTGGATTCAGCCTTGACTACTTTAACATCCTTTGCCATATCAGCAAACTTCATTACTTGCAAATTCTCCTCGTAATCACCGGAAGATGGATTCACGCAGACGATCATCTGAACTTTACCTTCACCTTCAAAATAATTCTTAAACAAAAACGTCAGTCTGGCATCTCTGTAAGGCACCAAACGATTCGCGTTGTTCATTTGATTGTCCCTCAATGCTTCCATGCAGGATCTCAAGAACATTAAAGAATTATTAATGGAACTCGCTTCTTTTAGTCGCATGCCGGTGTTCTGCGTGCGACTACTACGTTCAGATCCAGCCAAATCTACCAAACTCAACTGTCCAACTTGTAGCAAATTTCCAGCGGGAATCACACGATCCCCATTGCTATTTCGTGACTCCTGGTGCAATTGAACTACTCTAATGTTAAAAATCGAATGACTTCTGCTGCTTTCAGCATTAAGCAACGTATGGCCCATTCTTTTTCTCTTCTGGCCAATGTTAAACAACTCAAAAGCCTCAGCAGCAGACTTCACCTCAATCTCAACTACACCATTAACATACATATTCTTGTTTGAATCCTCTCTTAAGATCTTACTCTGTAGCTGCTTGCCACTGCTTTCATCCAAGAGATCATAAACAGTATTGTTATAAATCTCAATGTATGAAATAAACACAGCATATAAGTTTGTATCATTAATTTCCTGAATTCTAGTGAGGTCATTTGCATACATTGTTTTTTCTGGCCTTTTCTTTTGCCTACTCAATAATCTCTGTTCAATCCTCCTTTCTTCTTCTGCATCTGCTTCACTTTGAACTTCAAAACCATTCATCCTATCTGATTTTATAACGAATTTTGGAGCTTGGCGGTCGCCGATTGAGTTGAAGATCGTGTCGATACAACGCGGCATCATTCCCGGATGAAACGGATCTCCGGTAAGGGTGTAGGTTTTACCGGAGCCTGTAACTCCGTAGGTAAATAATAAACCGTTCTTGCCTTTGAGTAGGTCTTGAAGAAGTGGCAACGCGACGTGGTCGAAGACCTCCTTCTGGGATGCATACATGGTGAAGATATGCTTGAATTCATATTGAATGTCTCTACGAAGCACCTTTGAGTCCGTGGGGCATGTGAGGGCCAATACTTTGGGCGAAACAAGGTTTATACATGCAGTGTCGTTATCGTCTGGTAAATTCCGCAAACGGCAGTAAACACTGACTGGATCTTTGGTTTTATCGCTCTCGGAACTAGTTGAACCATTGGATTTTTCTCGACGTGGTGTTTTAAAAGCCATCTTTATGCTTGATTTCTTTCACAGTTTATATAAACTCATTACAAAACAAACTCCGATGCGATTATGGGTTACTGGTATAAACGGTGTAAAGTTTAAAATTCAACTGACTTTTAACGGTTCTGCCGTTCAGGTTAGGCTAGCATAAAACGCGCGTTTCGTGCATGCGCAGTTCCAACCGTCAAAACACAGGAACGGCGCGAAATTCAAAATTGGTAAATAGAACTACAATCAAAACTCACGATATTAAGTAAGTTTTAAGTATAATATTTATCTCATCGTTAAGTATATTACTTAATTTATAATGTACTACTATTGCATGAATATGAAAAGAATAAATTACTGATTGTGATTACACATAAACATAGTAAACATCCACAAAATTGTTGTTTTGCGTCCGATATAGTAAAATCGACCACTGATGAAACATGTATATATGTTGTGACTTAACTGTAATCGCGTATATTTTATTAACACTATCTTAATTGTTACGAAGATAAAATGACATGGACCCTACAAGTCGGTGTCATACCAAGCGGCCACTTGATTGTGGTCGTTTGGCGGCGCCGGCAGTTGATCCATGTGTTCAAAGTCAAGATCGGCGGGATCGGCAGTGCCCACATCCATTGCGTCCATCGCGTGCGAGCCGATCTCTAAGCTTTGCATATCTATTGGTATCTGGTCATACCCTGTTGAGAAATAGAACAATAACAATCAATAAACAACAAAACAATGTCAATCAAAATATCTAGTAAACCAAACCATGCAAAATGTTAGACCAGGTTGGGATAGTGATGGAGTGTGCCGAATCTTTACCTTGCTGCTGAAACTGTGTTCTGCCTCCGTGACTGCTGTGAACACTAGGGGGACCTTGTGCATACAGATTGTCATAGGGCTGGTCAGGGTTCAAAATGTCCTAAAATAATGTAAAAACAAAAAAAAATGCAAACAAACCAAAACAAAACTAAAACAAAATCACACTGTTGATGTTTTACGCTACCTGCAGATCAGGGCCCATGCCCAGATCCCCGTTCCAGACGTTCTCTTCTCGGAATAACGAATTAGTCAACTCCATTGAGAGCCGCTTCTTGTAGTCTTGTGGTTTGTCTTCACTCATGCGGAATAATACAGCGGCCGCATAAGTTGCAACACCTTCGTTTCGGGAATGTAAGAGTTCTGTTAATGGTGCTGTGGCACCCTCTTGCTCGATCATTTCTGCACCCTCCTTATCCGCGGCCAATTCGCAGAGTACTCCGGCAGCCACCCTTTGGATATTTTCAATATCATTGAATAATAACTGGACGAAAATGGGTACAACCATTTGTTGTCTGATAATGGCTCTGTTGTGCGACTCTCTTGCCAAAATATGCAAGGCACCGACTGTACCTTCGACAATTTCCTCCATACGCACTCCATCCGCATAAGTGCCGGGCTGTTGTGATCCACCACTGGCTACACTTGACCTCTGCCGTTGAGTGTCCTGGAACCCACGCATCAACAATTGCACCAAATGATGAATCGCACCGTGTTCACGTAATGGTGCGTGATTGGCGGGACATAAGGCCAAATTACGAATCAACCCAATCACCGCTTTGATCAATGGCCATCTGGATGGCGGATTCAACAGCTTGACAATCACTTGAATGCCGTAATTCAATCGTACGGCATTCTGCGCCATTTCGCTCTCAACATGACGTGAAGTCAAGTGCCTTAGGGCACAAACAGCAGGTTCAGTAATCTCCTCGCGATCACCAGCATTGACAATTGTACGCACCAAAGCATCCACTCCACCAACTTGACAAACGGTCACCTTATTGCGTTGATTGTTACAAGTCAAATTGGAGAGAATGCCAGCTGCACATGTAACAACATTGGGGTCCTGTGATTGCAATACTTGCACCAATGATTGAAGCAATGCCTCCAAACCATCAACCTTTGTGCCAGCATCAGACAGATTTCGCAACGTCCAGAGACAATTTTGTACCAAACGTTGACTTGCATTGCCAAGATGCATAGCAAGTGCCTGCATACCACCGGCCTCGACTATCGCTGGTTTGTTGCTCGAGCAAACAGACAAAACTTTAAGCACACGGGAAGTTGTCCACAACAACTTCTCATAGTCATACGAACGCATAATTCGTACAAGTTCGATCGGACCTTGCGATGCGAGAATAATCAACTTACTCTCCTGATTACCATATGCCAAAATTTGTAGACAATCAGTAACAATCGCGAGGAACTTAACATTGTTCCTTTGTAGCAGAGCAACCATCTTCTGCAGACCTCCAGCTAGACGTACCGCCATCTTTGATCCATCTTGATGGAGAAGTAAATTATGCAATGTTGTAATTGCATAAAACAATACACTCTCAACTGGAGAGCTCAACAGTTTGACAAGTGCAGGTATGCCACCGCTTTTAAAGATAGCGAGAAGACCCTGGCGATGATGTGACAACTTATGCAAAGTGCCCACCGCTCCTTTAGTAGTTTCCAAATCATTAGAGTTGGAAATCGCACGGACTAAAGCAGCGACCATCTGCGGGCTGTTCATAATCGCATGCCGTGAAGCTTCCTTCTTGGACAGCTGATGCACCATCATTGCAGCTTGCGACACTACAACTTGATCTTCATCATTCAAAAGTTTAATCAACTCTGGAATAGCGCGTGTAGCAAGGTCAGCATCATCCTGATAGTTGATCAGATTGACTACGGCATGCCTCAGCATTTGGCTAGGCTCAGCCAAACGCTGAACCGCCGTTTGGTGTCCCGGATCAAACTGAGTTGATGGAATTTCAATTCCTTCTTCCAATGTTTCAGGAAACATGGCAGCACGCACACGTTGCGAACGTGTTTGATTCAGTTGATTGTTCATGTCTAAAGAGTGCCTTGCGTTATTATATCATATTACTAGGTATTATTAATTATTTAAAATTACCGTCAACTTGATCTTGAGTGAATCCTTGGGCATACCCCTGATCCAAATCAAACAGGTCCATCTCCTCTTCGTCCTTCCCTGAGAGGGAAGGAACTTGGGTGCCAGCACCGGAATGGATACCGGAGTCACCCATGTAGGAATTCTGCTGCCACATCAGAGTTTGTTCTTTCGAGCTGATCGGCATGTCTCCTTGGTAGTTGCCATGAGACACTAAAATTTTAATTTTTATTGTTAATAATGTAACACAAAATCAAAAAATATAATATTGAAAAATATTTAACATACTTGGTCGGTTCTGATTTGCTTGCATGTAACTCATGGTGAATTGGTGGATTTAGCACCTAGAACAAATACATATATCAAGTAATTTATAATAATACATAATGTATTGAACTGTATGTTCACTAACCACTTCAAAAACAAATAAACATTAAAAACTGCGTTGCTATTTTAGATATGATTTCATAGCTAGATTGTTTGGCTATTTCATGTTTTACATAATACAAAATAAATTACAAATCAAAATATGGTTTTATGATGTTATTCTTGGGTGGAGTTAATGAACGTATACAACACCTTGCAGATGACACCTGTTTTTGTAGTTATTTTTGTTTGTGTGCAGCAAGACAATGCAAAACAATAAATATAAATTACAATGTAACAAGTGCATCAAGTGCATTTGAGTACGAAACATTTAGGCCGTCATCCCACGCAAGGCGGCGCACAAAGCATGCGCGCACCGCACACAGCTTCCATTTTGTCTCCTACAACTACACAGTTGTACAACTCAATGTTGTGGGCAAATCGAGTTCAACGACATTTACCCATTATACATTTATTGCTCACTAATCATGGATAATGTCGCACGGAAGCAATAATAAAAGCACATACCTCTTCCCAAAAAATTACACCACTGAAATCGACTCGGAATGAAAATCCACACCTGACGCAGCCAAACAACACTCGAAACACGAACGACACACGATACTGCGCCGAGAACAGGCTCGGTGTTCGCCGCTGGGATGCTGCACATGCGCACTGGAAGCCCCAGCATTTGTGGCATACCTTTGATGTTAACGAGGGACCTGAACCCGGTTTCCTTTTCCCTTGTGTTCTTCGGTATTGTCGTCAGTTTCCTTGAAGATTATAGATGATTCTAGGTCAATTCAAATGTAATAACAGCGTGAGCGTAGGCAAATATTTCATCATTATCTTTTCTTTTGATGATCAACTCTCTCGTTTGCCCTCACAGAACTAGGCAGTATTTGACTGCACAAGCCCTGAGGGCATTATATAATTATTCATATGCATTTGCTGCATTAGAACCTGAGATTTAAACAATAGTATATTATATGTAGTTTAATATGCACAAAACAATATTTGTGTATTTGTTTCAGAGAAATAAAAAAGTTGTTAATTAAAGTTTACCTAGTTACCAAATGTTATATTTATATTTGACGTATTGACATTTTTTTTAAATAAAAATACAATTCAATTCCATACATGAATTCAAGGGAAATACAATTGTAAGATTTAATTCGTAATAGTTTTAGAATAATGTTTGAACTTCTTCTTCCACACTTTGCGCCTGCGCACTTGCTCCATATCATACTATAACCTTGATAAATTACCCAAATGACTCATTTCTAAACATATACGACTTTTATTTACAAATTACGATTTACTGCTGATTTGCCCCAAATATTTAGTGCTCAACAATGTTTTCTAGTAATCCCAACTACACCAAGCTAAAAACTCATCTCAGGCTTGCAATTAATCGTCTAAAGCTGTTAGAAAAAAAGAAAGCAGAACTGGCGCAAAAAAGTCGCTATGAAATTGCCAACTTCATTAAGGAAGGAAAAGCTGAACGCGCTAAGATTCGAGTAGAACACATTATCAGGTAGATATTCCCCTATAAACACATACAATTTACTTAAACATAATCGTTTTCAGAGAAGATTATCTAGTCGAAGCAATGGAAGTAGTGGAAATGTATTGTGACCTCCTTCTGGCTAGATTTGGTTTAATCACCCAAATGAAAGAACTAGATGAAGGCTTATCTGAGGCAATTGCAAGCCTCATTTGGGTAGCACCCCGACTGCAGGCTGATGTACAGGAGTTAAAAATAGTGTCAGATTTATTGACTGCAAAATATGGCAAACCATTTGCTGATAATTGTAGGGCTGAAACTGAATCAGCAGTAAGTGCTAAGCTCAAGCACAAGATGTCTATTCAGAGTCCTCCCAAGAAACTAGTTGAAAAGTATTTGATTGAGATTGCCAGTTGCTTTAATATTCCATATGAACCAGATCCACAAGTGATGCAAGATGATGGTGTCCTCATTGATTTGAGTCAGGATAATAAAAATAATTTGGGAGGTGGAGGTGGCATGCCTTATGGTTTTATTGGGTTTCCACAACCACCAGCACTTCCAACTCCATTTAGTTATCCAGTAAGCTGTTTGTAGATGTGTAAAGTAAAGCAATTTATGAAAATTTTTATTTTCTTATAATAGGCGCCTTCTGTGGCATCAAATGAAGATAATGCATCTGCGCCACCACCTAGTTATCCATATGGGGCTCCATTTTCATACAACATTCCTCCAGCTGGCGGCAATGGCGGTGAAAGCGAGAAAAAGGAAGATAATACTGGTTTTGTAAGTGTTTTTATTTGAAGCATGATTTTATATTATTTTTGTGCTATTTTCGATTATTTTATGTATAATTTTAGGATTTTCCTGCATCTTATAATATTTTGTCCCCAGATGATAATATCAAAGTATGCATTCACTAATTATTTCATATTTATGATGTTAATGGTGTTTACATTTAAGAAACCATCGGACAAACCAGTGCCGCAGCCGAGGACAAACGTTCCAATCTTTCCGGAGATTCCCGACTTGCCGTCGGTACCCTCCGATATGCCTGGAAACGACATCGACTTCGACGACTTGACCAAGAGGTTTGAACAGCTAAAGAAGAAGAAATAATCTGTTGTTAACACCACTCACTTGTTCTAAATGTTTTAACGTTAAATTCTATGGATATATTTAATATAAGCTTGTAATGTTGTTATATTAGGCTGAACACTTTTTATTGCATTGATATTATACGGAATAAATTTTATTTTAGAATTGGCGTTGGCTCTTTATCACGTGACTTGTTCTAATGACAATTTTTTTTATTTTGCTGAAATCTACACCACTTTTAGACTTTAGAAAACATTCCCTTTCAATCCTCACTTGTATGAATCGAGTGATCGGTAGTTGTTGACAAATGAGATTTCTTAACCGCCGTAGGCGTTGGGAAATGGCAGCGGACAATCCCTTAACTCACAACAAGTTCAACATTTCCTAATTCCAAAACAGAACACCAGAAAATTTCACTAAAAATCTGAAATCAACTTCGACGTTGAATCAATTTCGACGGCAGCGACGCATACCGGAAAAATTTTCAACTGATCCTGTTTAGACTATTATAACCTACAATTAAAAACGTCTGTTTTTCATAAAAGTATTTATCACCGAAAGTTGGTTTAAAATGACTGCCCCGAAACAAGAAACGATGGATGTTGAGCCCGTGGCTCAGCCACCCGCCAACACACCCGAAACAAACGCGTCCTCAATGGACACCACTGAAGATGAGAAGAACTTTATGGCATCTTCTGGCACAGTGGGTTCAGTTACTTGCTCCTTGCATCCCTTGGTGATAATGAATGTATCTGAGCACTGGACCCGGACCAGAGCTCAACAAAGTGAACAGCATGGTATATAATTTTAATAAATATTTTAAATATGAACTTTTTAATAATTTTTTAAAATAGTCATAGGTGCCTTGATTGGCAAACAAAAAGGAAGAAACATTGAGATTATGAATTCTTTTGAGCTGGTATCCAATGAAATGGGGGATGACATTATTATTGATAGAGAATACTACAATATGAAAGAAGATCAATGTGAGTTGACCATATTGAAAACTAATGTTTATTGGTTAAAATGCTCTGTTTGATTCTTAGTTAAACAAGTCTTCAGTGATATGGACTTCATTGGCTGGTACAGGACGGGTGATGGTGTATTTTCACAAGACATCAAAATCCATAAACAAATTTGTGAGATCAACGAAGCACCGATCTTGTTAAAGTTAAATCCGCAAGATAAAAATATCGATGTAAGTTGAGTTGCATACTTTATAGGCGCTTACAGAAATGCATTATTATTTCTAGCATTTACCTGTGAGCTTATACGAATCCGTCATAGATCTCATCGGTGGCGAAGCCACAATGCTTTTTGTTCCGCTTACCTACACTCTAGCAACGGAAGAAGCTGAACGTATAGGAGTCGATCATGTCGCACGAATGTCTTCAACAGACGCGGGCGAGAGTTCATTGGTTGCTGAACACCTCACTGCTCAATACAGCGCCATAAAAATGCTTCACTCTCGCGTTAAGCTTGTTCTTGAGTACATGAAGGCAGTGCAAAACGGGCAGCTACCAAAAAGTCATGAAGTTCTAAGGGAGGCTTTCGCGTTGTGTCACAGGCTGCCGGTCATGCAAGGACCACGATTTAGACAAGACTTTTATAATGTAAGCCCGTACAACTTAACCGTGTTTACAATATGAAAATATTCTCCGTTTACAGCAAAGCAATGATGTCGCTCTGATGACATACCTGGGTACTCTCACGAAGGGCTGCAACGATCTCAATCAATTCGTCAACAAGTTCAACATCTTGTACGATCGGCAGGGCGCGTCTCGTCGGATGCGCGGCATGTTCTTCTGAATCAAAATGCGCACGATATTTATTTAAAATTTTTGTAATTACTTATTAATAAATATAGTGTAGTCATATATCTCAATCGTAATCGTAATAGAACAACAATCCTCTTTAAATTTACACTTTAACTTAGATTCTAAAATAGTTGTCTTTTTGTCCCTTTACGTTGACTTTCTGTTTATATCGTCCAGTAATATCGTAAATATATCAAAAAGTTTACTTTTTATATTTTTAAGGCGTTAATAACACTTTAACGGCAGAAACGGTTTAAAAAATTAAATTCTTTTCATAAATTTAAAGTTTCATGAACAAATAACACCCGCCATTTTGAATTTTTGCTTTCTATGTTTCTGATCTTCTCTTGTCTTGTGTAAAACGATTAAAAATCCACCTAAAAACAAAAGAACTTCAAAATGTCAACGCTTTTTAATCGTATATGTTTTGTTTTCTGCATGAGTCATAGGAAGACTGGCGGAATAAAATTCCTGTTACTATTTTCCTGCTAACTGTCAATTTTGTTACATTTTTATGTTAATTCCATCATAACTTCTAAGATATGCTGTTCTAATTGATTCTGTTTTACTACGTTTTCTTTATCGTTCTAAAATTTGATCAGACGCCCATTTTTTTACAAGAGAGACCTATTCTATCATGTGTTTGTGTATTGTCACGCGTTCCGCTCAACACCAATGAGTTCATCAAAGAGTGTCACGTTCTCGTTGCGACCTTCGATCATGTGCGTCGAATAGCGTAACGTCGCTTCCGCGAGGTCCTTCACAGTCCACTTGCGGTCCCTGAGTATTCTGTACAGTGTGTCCAGAGATGCGAGCTCTGCATTTCCGCAGGTGTAATATATCAAAGATGGCGCGCCAGCTACACTTGCTGCCATCCATTGAATTACAACTTTTAGCTGCACCTCGCCGTGTTTCGAAGATCCACAGCCCCAATTACCGGTGGCCACCGGTCGTAAGCCATTGGTTGGTTTTTGAGCAATCTGTGATAACTATTAATAAATTATTAATTAATGTTAATTATAATAATTATAAAAAAAGATAACAAATGATTGATTGATGAAATAAAAGTAGTGTTTTTAGTAAAATTTCACTCTTTTAGTGAGGTTAGTATGGATTACACCTCAAAAACAAAACGGTCTCGGCACAAAACATGCTTCACATGTTTTACCTTCCGATTAGTATTGGTAATCTCTGGAGGCAGAGGCTGAGGCAGGATAACGTTAACGCAAATGTCCTCTAAGGTTTGCACTACCGCGTCGATGCAGGTCGCCACCCAATTCAACTTTTTGCGCGGCGCCGGCTGCGCCGCCATTTTGTTGCCATTGGGCAGCGTACAAGCGCCTCCGCCATCAGCCACACCATCTACAACTACGAGAATATCTTCCGCGTCATCCTCTTCGACCGTGCGACTCTATCAATTGTACAACAATAAAAATAACCACAAAAAACAAGAAAACCAGTGATGTGATGATGATGAAACTCAAATAATACTAGAAATAAACACTTACCAATTGTGCCGCCAGGCGGTGCTTATGTTTAGCAAGCTCTAAACTCAAAGACTTAGCATTTAACACCATTTTGTTTCGTTTATCCGCTGGCGTCGGCGCAGGAGTGTCCGGATCACAACCATCTGTAAGTGAAACTCCAGCGAACGATTCGCTCAGAGTACGTTTTAATATTGATCCAGCAAACTGAACCACAGCTAAATCTCTAGCATCCAGTTTTCGTTTAGTGCCTTTGTCAGTTTCTAATATTGGATCATCCAGCCATCTTGAAAATTGGTCATAGACTTCTTCTAACTCGGAACTGTAATCGGTACTGAAGCTGTACTCTGATGAGCGGTTAGTGTCTTTTCGTGGTAGTCCGCTTTGTTTATTGCGGAACTTGTCAATCCACTGACGTTCTTGATCGAGTGAATCGCGTAGGAACTCTTCGTCAAGAGATTCTTCATGGAGAAGGAAACCTGTTGATCCTTTTCGTCTAACTCTACAATATCCAATGTAAAAATTACAAATCTTTATGAAAAATATTTGAAAAACTTACTTGATATCTTGATCAGCTATACTTGCACCAGTAATATTAATTCCTACAGCATAACCAGACTCTGATGAACTTGTAAAATTGCTAGCTTCTCTTCTTAGCGCTTCCCTCAGTCTTTCAGCAAACGTATGCCGCCTCTCTGGTGTCTCCAGATCCATACTATATCGTTTATGAAATTCTTCATCCTCGCTCTCGTATTCATCTTCAATACTAGTCTTTGCGCTGTGAAATTCATCGTCATCATCATCACTACAACTTGAGTATTTACTTTGTTCATCGCCCAACGGTCGTCTCTTAACTGGAAGACATTCTCCTGATGATCCAAGAACAATAAATTTCCCTCGGCGATTATTCAAAATGGCCTCGTTGGTTGTAAACTTCGGCTGATGTCGTGGTAACTGATATTCCAACTGTACACTGAGTTTATTACCATCTAAATTATTATTAGTTGGACTTCTCGAGCCACTTCGATTAGTGCTACAAGACTCTTCCTTGATTAACGGGATGTTTATTGTTGCGCTGACTTCCGTGTTGGATCCCAGGGATAGTGATTCGCCAATTGGCGAGAGACGTCTTGCAGCGCGTTGGTGTTGAGTTTCTGCCGGCGCAGACTGTGTTTGCGCTTGCGTGGGTTGAGATTGCTTTTGCTGGTAGGCGAGCAGGCACTTGTTCAACTCTCTGAGCACGTTGTCCTCTTCGTATTGGCCGAGTGGCAGTTTCGCGTAGTCCTCCGCATCTACACAACACATTGTAATCTAGAGAATATAATAATGGGATGTCTTTGCTGAACTAGGTCGCTAGGCGCGAGTTTCGATACCTCTTGTGGTTCCAGCGGCTGTAGTTGTGCGCGATGCTTCGCGTCCGTGATGCGGGCAACCCTCCTTACGTTGGATACAGTCAGGACTTCATTATCCTCGAGCGCTTCGACATTTAGCAAGGTACAGAGTATTTCGGGTATTGTGCAGAACGCTATTGATTCCTACAAGTAAACATTTGTTTATTTTTGGGTTATGTTAGTTGCCTATCAGTTACTTGTGTGTTGCCATTTTCTAAAACTTTTCCACCGAGTTTGTTGCACGCGAAACAGATGTTTAAGCAATCACTGGGCGCTCTTTCAAGCTTGCCTTCGTGTTTTATATGTAGAGGACATAATGGAAGACTACATTCTAACCAATCTTCTATTGTCAACCATTCTTTACTAGACATAACCTTAAAAAGTAACAATTATTAACCTTAAACTAGAAAATTGTTATTTTTAATTACCTGTCGCATTATTTTTATTTTTCCAATAGAATTTTTATCATCTGCCAACCATTCGAAGTAGTTGAACACACTGCGCAACTTCGCTTTTTGCCAGTTTTCGTTTAAATATCGAAAAAAGTCGCTAAAGTTAAAGTTCTGTAGCGTCGGGTGCGTTTTCACAGTTCGTTTTGGAAATGTTGAGAAAAACGCATTTGCTACTAGCGACGCAACCAGATTGTAATCTAAATCAGTTGAATCAGCTACAAAAAAAAAAATATTTTATATTAAAATATTTGTGAAATTTCAAAAAAAAAAGTTACGTTGTTGTTGTAGACTAAAATGTAATCCATTTTTAGGCCGGTACTGTCGTAAATCACATGCACGGTTTGCCATACATGGTAATATTTTATTAAGGAAATCACTGCGTTCTTTAATGGTCATATCGTTGTCGAGAAAGTTTAAAAGGCCTACGAATTGTTGCGGATCAGGCGTGTCATCATCCGGATCCAAACTTATACTGCAATTTATATTCGGTAAATTTTAGGTTAGGATTTTGTTTTATATTTATTATAAATTTATTTACTTGCACATATCATGAATGCGCTTCATTCCTTCGATTAATTCCATTGTATTCTTTGTCGAAGCAATTTTCTTCAATTGTTTTTGTACCGACCCCCACCAAGGGAGATCGCAGGGTAACATCACCAGCGCCATTTTGAAAATGCCTTCTACCTGTAAACAAAACAAAATTATAAAAATTGGAAATTCCCAATAACATTTAATTTTTTATGTACAAGATATAAATTATCAACAAACAAAGGTGGGTTTTTTTATTACTCTGTTACGAGCCATAGTGGTTTTTTTCTCGCTCATCGTGATATTGTTAAATTCAATGTGTACGTTTGCGTGTTGATTATTATTGCTACCTGTTGCTGAGGTGATGGTATGGCCAATATAACGAAGGTGATGCGCGAGAATCGCCAGTCGAGATTAGTACGCGCGGCACACCGGTTAATCGTTTAACAATTTGATACTCTGTGTGGTTTTCAGCGATAGTGCAACCAGCGAGAAGATGGCAGGCCAATTAAAAATAGGTTAGTAATATCCAGTGATATCACAACAAGTATTATTAAATAAATCATGATTGATTGCATATTGCAAGAACATTATCAGATTTTTGATTAGTGTTTATCTTGTTAGTTGTACTAATGAATAGAGATATTACGAGTAATCAACAAAACATGTTTCAATCAAATGTATGCAACCCAATATACAAAAGAATTATTTTTACTTTTATTAGACGTCTAGGTTATGACTGTTTTAAGTTACTTTTTGTTAATTTTATCAGTTAAAGTACGTTAACACTTAGTGATAAATCTATTTATGGTCCAGATTACACAAAGATTAATTGTTAAACAATTATGATAACCTAGAATCAAGCTTTTGTTATTTCTATTATGTAGAATTTATGTTTTAATCCAAAACATAATGACATAATGCCTGTACAGTACAAATTTAACTGATGTGTAATATTTAAGAAAGTAAACTGGTGTCAGTTGATATTAATTGCACTGCGAATTATAAAATATGTGAATCAAATAAAAATAAATTTATAAAAACCTAAAACTAGTAAAAGTCGTAAATAAATTTAATTTACATATTTCTTCATCTGAAGAAGAAAACGTTATCGTCGAAATGCGCATCGCAACTTTTATTAATTTATTTATAAGATGGAGTCATTCGAATTTAATTAAACTACAGTCAATTTACAAAAAACGCGATTATGTCATTTAGATCTTCAGTGCCTCTCACATGCTATAATAGTAAATTGTAAAACGCGAAAAAAAATGAAACTAGTTCAGTGTAGCGCGGTTAATATCCTGACTAAAAATACAACGTCCAGGCCAAGAATACATCTTAACAGTTCGAGCAACTGCAGTGTATAGTTAAATATCACACACTGGAAATTATATTCTCTAATTTCAAGAAACGAAAACGAAAATAATTTCACATAAACAGGATAAAATTCACAGTGGACAAACCCATTTATTTATCCTTTGTGCGTGCTATCATTGTATTGGATGATGCACTGCATGTTTGATATAGAGACGCTTCACGTGCCGAATTTATTTTTGACGCGTGTATTCGAAATTCACTCGCGTGCATTAACACCACTGATCGTGCCAATTTAGACTTAAATTTAACGTGGAATCTTCATCAAATTTGGGGTGGACGGCACTTTGTGAATAGCCGACAGTACGACGCACATTCATTTCCTCTTATATCGATTTTCCTACTTCCGCAAACGCCCGAATAACAAGCAACACACCGTACACCAAATAGAACTCATGTGTTTCGCAAATAATTAAAAATATACTCACGTAATTCTTGGTTTTAATCCATAAAACACTAAATAGAGTAATTAAAACACACTCGACATTTATTTCGACATATTTATATGAATTACGAGTAAGTTTCGATTTGTTTGTGAAAAATAGGAAGTTTTCGTGATTTGTCTCGCGCGAAGCGTTTCGCGGCGAACGCGACTAAAGTCATCGTTGGTTGTTTGGGGCTTTTTTCGCCCAGGGACGCTATAAATACATTGTACTCCCGGCGGCGGAGCGGTGCGACGCCCGGCGCCGCGACGTCAGACTAATTCGTTGCGCTGTGCATTTCGAGTTAGTATTGTTGTGATTTCTCGCACTTGCCGCCGTTTAAACACTTAAAAATGACTTTCACAATAAATTTAACCTAAGTTTTCTTATTTTGACAGGTTAGGTTAACTTATTTAATTAAAGGTAGGTTATCTTGTTAAACTTTACTCATAAAACTATGCATATAGGTTGAGGTTATTTTTGGGTATTAACGACCTAAACTGTATTTTTAGCGTGAATTTAATTGGTCGTAGAATGATTGTAAACTTGTTGTTAGTACCTACTACAACGCCATTGCTGCAAATTGCAGTCACTTAAGTCTTGTTGCTTAGTGAATCATAGAAGTAGAGATAATTGACGTGAGTTAATCAGAGTAAATTATGAATGAGTGATGGCTTTGCGTAGGCGGAGAATAATTTTGGAAGAAATTACATCCTATTTAATATGAATAGTTTTTTATATTAATTATAAACAAATTCACTGTAAAAAATTAATTAATTAGTGTTCTTTTACTATTTTATGATGAATTTTATCTTTAAATCAAATGTCACATTTAAAATGTGCGAATGAAAAAACTACACACTGCCATGATGAAAAGATAATAATAGTTAAATTCACCAATAGGGAGGGCGCCATTGTAGGTACAAACTCTTCGGATGGAATTTGTAGTATAGCCGTACCTCTGTAGCATGCTATGCACACCATGAATTTCATATTGGCTGAAATTTTGCACACGCGACAATAAAACAGTAAACAGTTGTTGATCGGGCATTTGTAGACAAAATGACAGCACCATGTGGTTGCCTACAGCTTTCAGCACTTGCATCGTACCGGCGAACGAGTTAAACTTTGGTTCCAATGCTGATCCTGTCAAAATACACAAAAATTTTTATGGTTAATTTAAAGGTTATGATGTGTGGACTATTTACCATTTTGTGGACCTGATGTAATCCATACTCCTGGTTTAGTGACATTGTATCTAATTGAATATTCAGTGTGCACTCCTTTTTCGTCCCACAACAAACGCATGCGCTTAATTTGTTCATGATAACGCAGACGATGAGTCGGATCGTGAACGTTTGGATTTCGATAGTGTTTATTGTACGTCGAGTAGTCCTGGTCTTGGTGGTCTTGATTTTGACCTTGTATCTGGCCCTGAGATGGATTGTTGAGGTACTGCTGATATTCGCTGCTGTAGATGGGGTTTTGAGTGGTGTATTGCGATGTGTACATGTCTGAAATCAGTTGGATCACATTTTTTTCTGGTTTTCCTTGAATTTACAAATTAAATATCAAGATTGACTTGAACATCTGCCGGTTTGAATGATGACATAATATTGAATACCATTATTAAATATGTGAATATTCACTGTTTAAATACAATGATTTAATGATAAATATTTGAAGACTTAGCTTTTTATGTTGGCGATGTAATTAACAGGTTGAGGTTATATGATTACAAAAAACGTTTTATTAAGCAGTTAAAATAAGCACATATTATGAAGTGTTTATTATGATTGATGGTAATTTTTATGTCTGTGGCTATTTAAATAATTGAATGTGTTTCTTATAACCTTAATGATATTTGTTGGATAGAACTTCTTTAACTGGTACTTAAGAAGTAAATTATTAAAGTTTATTTTTATTTTAAAAGTTTAAAACTTAATTTATAATTTACTTGTAGACTTGTGTCGTCTAATCACCATACTCAGAAATATATAAAAGTAACAATTGCACGCGACTACATCCGCATAGTAAATAAATAAACATTTTTGTAAAATCAAACATGGAAATAAGAATTTAATACGATTAAATTTAAGTATATTAAGTATGTATGATTTGCTTTATTTTGTTTCTGAGAATCAATCTTCGCAAATCAGAAAACATCGTCAACAAGTTAGATTCAGTTAACTAAGATGAACAAAATTAAATGAAGTTCTGGTTATCCTTGATATTCTAATTGAACAAAGTTTGTAAATAATCGTTCTAAGACGTTCTTTTTAAGGAACACCTTTTTTTTCTTGATTGATAAATATGTAAGAGGGCACTGTATAAATAGTAATAATTGGTAATTATTTTTATTCTCAAGTAAATTTGTAATAAATATTTGGTATTCTTTTTGATTTAAAAAAAAAGTTTTTGGCAAACTTTATCAAATAAAATTTTTTCATGAACGACTATAGCAGTTATCCAGTTCAAGTAAACAACAATTTGATTTCCATTAAAATAAAACTTAAAACTTATCATGTTCAAAGTTTTGCACTGAAAAATTTAAACTTAAATCATTGTACTTGCGGTACGTAATATTATGCCAATGACTCACTATCACACGTTCTGCCGTGAGAAAAGACAATGCGATTGTAAATATTAACGATAACGACAAACTGACACACTTATTCACCTATATAAAGATTTTATGAATAGGTTTATAATCTGCTTGGTCATTAAATCTGTTTGTGCGCACTGAGTAGTTGGGGAATTTTGCACTATAAAAACAACTCATGTGTTATTGGCGTGACACATCGGTTTGCCGAGCATAGATCGGTGGTAATGTTGTAAAAACAATTCACTTTAAAGCGCAATTTCCGGTGTTATTCTTCTATTTAATAACTGTATGATCCATTAAAAACGTTGTTGTCGCCAATGTTTTGCGCCAATCAGATTTATGTATGATAACTTTATTTTGAATTTTAGTTAGTTACCCGGATGAACTTGCTAACGAAGTTAATATATTTCATCTTATATTAATTACGAGCTTTTGCCCGCCACTTCGTCCCGATAGTGTTTAATAAAAATGCAATTCGTTTTTACTCTTTTGTTCAAGACATAGTATGTGTCAATTCTATCACTAAGATTCGCAAATTTATTTTAAAGAAATTAATTATATAAAGAATTGCTAATAAAGCACTTCAGCGCGCCATCTCGGATTCAACTATTTAACTATAACTATGATTACATATCAATGCCAACTTTTATCCTATAGAAAAGAGCTGCCTTTAGTGTTTTCCCGGCAATTATTTGAATTTTTCTTGCCGTAAAAACCATCCTTGGACTTTAACGAACATTTAAAAAAAACAATTGGCCAAATTGGTCTAGATTTTGTTGAGTTATGCGCTTACCAACAGATTTTGCGATTCATTTTTATATTATAGATTTAAAGATTGCAAGACATATAAAATGATGTTAAATCATAATGAAAATTTTGATAGAGTTTGATAGGGTTATCATGCTTTAAAAAAGAATTAAAATTTAAGAAAGTTTTATGGTCATAATTTCAATAGTTTGCAAACACCATAAAAAATAAATTACGTACCTTCTTCGTTCTTCCCAAATACGTTTAAATTCGGCCCATTGTATCCACGCCCATACCCGGAACCAAAGTTGCTCTGATAATTGTGATCACCGTAAAGGGGCCGGTAGGTCGTGGGAGTTCGATCCTCGGAAAAGTACAATACCGGGCAACCCTCCTCCACAGTCGTGTCGTGTTTCGCTTCGCTTTTATGGTTGATTATCTCGATTCCATACCACATGCCCATTAACTTTGCAAGTATTAAAACAAAAAAACACAATCAAACAATGCACAACAATTTCACGCTGACTTGCATCCGTAGATGATTGATTTTTAAACGAATTACCTGGTCGATGTCGACGTGGGACTGCGGATTACTTTCGGAGCAGTGATAAATACTGCTCATAAAATTCTCGCCGTGAACATTATTAATAAATGTTAAACTAAACAAGCAAATCAGGAGTTTCAAATACATTTTCTTTTGAAATAATGTTTGGTTTGATGACTGGACGAGAACAAACAGTCGAGATGAGTGTGACTGTCGCACGAAGGTGAAATTGTTATGTCCCCCCGAAAAGGGCAGAGTAGAAGCAACGCTGGGCTGAAATTGTTGTAGGAGTACGAAGATTACACATGCTTATTAACATCGTTTAAAGCAATTAATTAAGGAAGCGTGGAGTGCGTCGTTGAGTTCGGAATTGTCTCGTGCCCGGTCTGGCACACCGCAAACTAGAATGGCTAATAAATTCATTTATTATTCATCATTTTGAATATGTGACTCTTTCTATTTTTCTCTGTTCTAAATGAATAATAGTTCTAAATCGTCTCAGTTTAAAAAATCTAAAAGAGAATTTATCGTAACTTGAAAGCTAAATTATAATAAACATAGTAAAAAAAATATAAAAATTTTAAAAACAATTGAGCAGCGGGCATTTTATTCACTTCTCTATAAGTTGAAATTGTGTTATGCGCAAAACATTTTCTATTGTAACAAAAAAATATCACTGCACATTATTATGGTATCAGGTAAACTTATATCAGGAATTTCAACAGCAATAATATTGAATTGATTTTTTTCATTTATTAGCCTTTGCCCCCGACTTCGTCCCGGTAGTATTTAATAAAAATGTAATTCGCTTTTACTCTCGTGTTCTAGACATAATATGGGTCAATTCTATCAAAAAGATTCGCAATTGTATTTTAAAGAAATTAATTATATAAAGAATTGCTAATAATGCACTTCAGCGCACCATCTCGGATTCAACTATTTAACTATAACTATGATTGAATCTCAATGCCAACTTTTATCCTATAGAAAAGAGGGATTTTTCAGGTTTTCCCGGCAATTATTCGATTTTTTCTCGCCGTAAATACCATCCTTGAACTTTAACGAACATTAAAAAAGAAGAATTGACCAAATTGACCACATGCTAAAATATTAATTCAAAAAATGCACTAAACACTAGAGTCCAACCGAAACAGCTTTTTTCCGTCAAAATCGAAACCGGAACCGAATTTCAGTTATATCATTTCTTTGATGGAAAAATAAATTGCATAACAAATATTAGTTTTATCAATATTCATAATTAAACAATCTAATATTGTGCACTAGATACAATCACTTATTTTGCAGCATTCTCAACAAGTAAATTGCTTACCAGGCTTATCTGGTAAAAAACCAGACAACTTTGAAAAGATTCCTTGTAATAAAATGTAAAAAGGCAACATAAAACATCAACATGTAAAAAGACAACGTAAACTACACCTAGGCCAACCTTCCCTTAAATTTCTAACCTCCCACACCTTTTAAATATTTGTTACCTGTAACAGGTAGAAATTGGTATTTTAAAGGAAAACATATAGTTGGAAGTTATATAATACAAGTTGTAAATTCCAAAGATACTCTCAATTGCGTCTTTCCTAGTGTGGAAAATACGTGTTTATTGAGTTTATTGTTGAGTTCCAAGATTTTGTTCAATTTTGGGAATTTTAACGGGCATCACGGTTGCTACACAACATGTATTTATTATTTATTTATTTTACGCTGATAGTGGGGTTCAATGTCAAGCTTTTGGTCAAGATCAACCAAGATTTTCATTTGCTGGTGAGACAAGTCAATAATTTCAGATCAGTTTCGGTTTGCCAGTTAAACAGTAAGGTGTAAATACAGAATAACCGAAAAAGTGATCAATTTTGTAAACTAGAATTCGGTTTAATTCAAATTGTGTCGAGTGCATCAAGATGACGTTATCTTATTTAAGAAGTAAGTTTTTGTATTGTAAATTTATATTATTTATATAATTATATAATGATTATTAAACGTGAAAGGTCAAGTCGCAAATGATCGCTGCATTATAATCAAACTTGCTAATTTGAGAAACAAGTTATTAAAATATAAAGAAATATAAGTTTCTTTAGCTTACTGTAGGCAACTATTTTAACATTATGAAGATGTTAGCCAGATGATTGCCATTACTTGGAGTAATAATTAAACAAAATACAAGCATTAATATTACATTTTCCTTTTTTGTTCATAGTAATCATAATTTTGAGGCATGTGGTGGTTTTGTTGAAATTGGAAAATAAGATAATGAGCGCAACAACAAATACACTAATTGCAAAATATACTAATTTTACATGCCAGAATTTCAACAAATAGAACTTTTAAGCCATTAGGTTCAAAAACTTAAATTTGCAATTAAATGAATTAAGTCAGATAAACATACATAAACAACACATCAAACTGCTCAATACACAAATCAACAACGTATTATTTTTGCCTATTTTGTTTTTGTTTTATTCCGGCAATATTTTGAATTAATGAGCACTACAGGCTGGGATTGCTAGCTTATATCCTTGCCCAATAATTACTATTAATTTATTCGTTAATAAATGAAAGAGTTTCAATTGTTTTTCTTTATGGAATTATAAGTTGATCCACAAAAAGTAGAAAAAAATATTCATTGGGGTTGTTGTTAATTCAAATTTGACTAGGAAACTGACCGTGACATGCTCATTATATCATACGTAATTATAACTGAAACTAAAATCATTTAGAATTATCTCATCGTTTATTACATCACTACTCCAATCCTGTTATTTTTTAAAAGATTAAAAGCTGGTCGAACATTCAATATTATCCATAATTCCAAATTTAGAATACCTATTAAATTTGTTTTCTCGAATCATTGTATTCTCGAATATAGTCGTCTATATTTATGTTCAGTAATCTTGAACATTTAATTATTTTCTGATATACGAGTAGTTGTTACTAGAACAATTTCTTATCGAAATTAGCAATTCAAAATATTTTAACGATAATGATAAATATAAAAATAGCAACAACAACTATGACTCATATTATATTGTGCAACAAGCGTTAATAAACAAAAAAAAAACAATGAAACATTCGATCCGATTCCGACCCGCACACATTAATCGGGACTTTTCAAAGGATGACCAACGCTGGTAAAACTTATCGATTCCGACAATATGGCGCCATTTGTGTGCCATTATCACTAGATTACAGACAGATTAAATTTGGTACTCATAGTACCCCTTGTATCAAACTCATCTATATGGATGAAAATGTTCGAGAAAAACCAACTAGCTATTCTTACTCATCCAAAAATTAAAACATTTGAAGTTTCTGTATACGTAAAACGAATACATTTATTTTTATCTTTTCCATGAAATGCTAGTAAACAATGAATGTTTGACCTTGATGATTAAACGACATTACACGAACTAACGCGAACTACGCATGTGTTTCTAATTGAAATAATTCACGGACACAACACACAGCAAAAAAACACGAAAAAGGAGGCGGCGCAGAATTGGCGTTTCTGTTCCTACGTAGAATCGTGAATAGTATAGATGTTATTCACATACCACATTGATTCAACCTGTGTTAGAAATACTTGGTTTATATGCCGATCACACCCGTTATTTCAAGCATTGCTCGCCGGTCGTTCGGTGCGAACACGTCCCCAAGTTTCTCGCTATCAAGTGCTTGTACGTATATTTATATTAAAAAAACAAAACCGAAACGTGGAACTATACATTTAATTACAATTATTTTAAAGTTGTTAAAGTAATGTTTTTGTTGGTTATTCACTTTTACTTAATATTGTGCAATATGTGTATATACGTTAGGCAACCATATTAACAAAAATACTTTTAATTGCAGCCTGTATTTTGTTCCTTGGGATTTTTGCGATTTCATCGACAATGGCGAACGATAATGCGAAAGCCGTCGTGGCAGGCAACAACCGTATCACCGGTCAGCTCTACCAGCACATCGCCGAAGATAATGAGAATCTCATCTTCTCTCCATTGAGTGTTCACACAGTTCTGTCTTTAGTCTACCAAGGTGCTGCCGGTTCAACCGAAGCAGCTTTCAAAAATGTTCTTGGAGTTCCCGACAAGCTTAAAACAGCCGAAGGATATCAATCCGTTATGGCACAATTGAATAATGTTGCTAATGTTACCCTTGAGATCGCGAATCAGGTCTATGTGAAAAACGGTTATCGCATGAAGCCGCAATTCAAAGAAGTTGCAACTAAACAATTTGCGGCCGGCGCTGAAAATATTGAATTCACCGCACCCACTGCAGCGAAAACAATGAATACCTGGGTTGAGCAGAGAACCAAGGATAAAATCAAGGACCTTATTAAACAAGAGGATCTTGATGCCGACACCAGAATGGTTCTCATTAACGCGGTTTACTTCAAAGGAAACTGGGCGGATCAATTCAACAAAGATTTAACACGTCCGGATAAGTTCTTCATCTCTGAGACAGAGACAGTTCCATGCCAGATGATGTTCCGCAACGGTAAATACCGCTACAAGGACGATTCCGCTTTGGATGCGCAAGTCATTGAGTTGCCATACAAAAATCCTGCTTTGAGTATGATTGTAATTTTGCCTAAGAGTAAGACTGGTATTAAGGAACTTGAGAAGAAGCTTGCAAAGCTTGATCTGGCTACGGTAACGAAAGATATGTACAGCGTTGAGGTGGATTTGAGTCTTCCGAAATTCAAAATTGAGTCCACTATTCAATTGAACGAGCCTCTCCAGAAGGTATTTAAATGACGCTAGTTATGTACGGTTAACTGATTTTTCTTTGAATTTTTCTTAGTTGGGTTTGGGCGAAGCATTCAGTGGCGCCGCGAATTTCTCGGACCTTCTTGAAAGCTCCGAACCTCTTAAAATCAGCAAAGTTGTCCAGAAAGCATTCATCGAAGTAAACGAAGAAGGAGCCGAGGCTGCAGCCGCTACCGGTAAGTCATATATTATTTTACTTGGTACTAACATCGCACGCTATACTTAATTTCTTTCTTTAACCGGGTTTGTTTCCTTTATGGGTATTGTGTGCACTTTATACTAACAAATCAATAGAAATGGGTATTCAACATGGCCGCTATTAGTTTAAACACATTTAGTTGGTATACACATTGAATAACAATACAAGTCGGTGTAGTTTGTGCCTGAGAAAGATCATATATATTTTCTAGGGTTGTTGATGCGCAAGAAGAGATGTCTCGCGGAACGGTTCGAAGCGAGTCGAGCGTTTCTCTATTATATCGCGTATGCAAGTAGTGCTGAGGTCATCAGCGACGACGATGACGCCGTGTTGAATGATCAAGAAATTTTGTTTTATGGCAATTTATATATGCCGTCATATATCGATCTTGATGTTGAAATGGTTAATGAGCTAAATGATGAATTATAAGATTTAGGCTGGAGTTTAAACTGATTAGGGACCAATTTTACGCATTTTTATCACATTTATTCTTTGACACGAGCTTTTTTTAAAGTTACGATATTAATATCTTGTTAGGTGTGGTGATGATGATGCGATGCATGCCGGTGAAATTACCGAAAATTGCTTTCCGCGCCGAACATCCGTTCGTCTTCTACCTCATGCATCTAGACAACGAGCATCAAGCACTCTTCCATGGAAAACTTGACTCGACTGCCACTGACGTATAATCGCCATTTTGAACGGTCTTGTAAAACTCAGAAAAAGCTTTTAAAAGGCATTGTAACTCCATACTGCTTTAGATTAGTATTTAATTTGTGATGAGTAAGTCCCACCTAAGTGTTGTTACTGTATTCTCCCTATTTGTTAAACATTTGCACAGTTTAAATAAAAAAATGATAGTATTTACCTGATGAGTCGACTTTTCTGCAAACAAATTACAATCGAGGCTACGTTATTCAAAGGAGTGTTTTGTTTGTATGTTTGGTTGCCTATGATAAAAACTGCTAGAACTTGATTTAAATAGATTTTGTGAGTGAGTAATTCAAACAGAATTGGTAACTCAAGAGGTATCTGAACTCAAATAGTAACGAAAGTGACGCATTACTTTACCCTGACATACTTCTAGGTCATTTGCGTAGGAAACGAATCGATAAATTGCGTTTGTGGCGCGAAACATTACAAGTTACTCGCAACCTAAGGAAAAGACAACTTAAAAATATTTTGCTTTGTCGTAGGATTGCAAATATCGCTGATGATGCTGCCACCGCGGATCAGGGTGGATCATCCATTCATTTTTGCTCTGCAATTGAGACAAGACGACCCTGCTTCTACACAGAGCATATTTTTAGGAACATTAAACGAACCGAAAAATTAAAAATTTAAATTGTAGAGTACTGTAACACCCATAGAACAAATTAAAGTTAATTTTTAAAGAAGTAGTAGTATCAAATTAAATTGAATTCTATGAGACCTTGTATTATTGCTCCAATATGAAAAATAGTCACGTGCGAAAGTAATTGATTGGCATGTGTAGCAGGTGCCAGTGATAAAATGCATAAACACTCAACCAATTCTCAAAACACGACAGGAGTTAAAGTATCACTTGACTAAATGATCACTCAAAATGTATATTTTTGGATTAGTCTAAATGTAATGCGAGTAATAATAATAACGTTTGCATTTGTTATCAAACGTTTGTTGAGATCAATATTTGCGCGAGCCTGCAATCTTTTTCATTAGCTATATTAACAGAACGTATCACTCAGCTTTATTAAAAAAAAAATCGTGATAATTCATTAGTACACAATCTTAAATCGATATTTCATTGAATGCACTGAACTAACAAATTATATGGAAGTAAAATATTAGGACGAAATTGAAAAGTTGAAGTTTTTTTTTTCTTTTTGTTTATAGTGACGCAATTTAAAACGCGCTTTGGTGCGATAAAACTGTTCAAAAAACATTTCGCCGCTGACCATCCCTTCTTGTACATGGTGATGTATGCAGGAAGCGAATCTGATGCGCAAACTTTGTTTTACGGCTCACTTCTTAAACCGTAATTTATTATGAAAAATTAAGAAGTATTATGTTTTTTCTGTTGAATTGTTTAATATATGTTTTGCACCGATGTCCCTGAATTATTTTTGCGTTATTTTGAAGATAAATTAAAATCAGTTATGTTAGTCACAGATCACATAAATGCATGCGCAGTTAATTTGACATTTAGCGAGATTTGAAAACTTGTAACTGAAAATTGATTAAAATTAAATATTTTTCAGCTGTAATGATGATGGCCTGCTCGATGGCGTTGAATGTAGCACCGACACCGGTTTTCCGCGCTGATCACAGTTTTATTACACTTTTAGTACACGAAAACAGTGTTTTGTTCGTCTCAAAACTGCATGAAACCAAAGTTTAACCCAACATATTATAAAATATTCTATTCTTTTACGAAAATACGTAGCAGTGGTGTGTGAAATAACATATTACAATAAATTAAATAACAAATAATATTTATTTCCTCCCTAGAAAATATATTTTTATATTGTTGTAGCTGTAATGATGGGGTTTGGTTCCGCAATGGCCTACAAACCTCGAAAAATGATTTTCCGTGCCGATCACGGCTTTATTGCATTTTTGGGCTGCGAAAATTACGTCCTATTCATGTCTAAGTTACAAAATTTTAATTAGGGCATAAATTGGGACACGATTATTATTATTATTTTGGAATAAGAAGAGCGCACAATAAGATATATTTTAATTTTTGCTAGTAGAAATTCTTAGTGCTGATCGCAGTTATATTACATTTCTAATTCTCGAATATAATCATTAAATAGTTTTTGATGCTGTATGAAATAATAAACGTTATTAAATTAGATTTGAAGTTGGTACTAAATTTGATTATACAATCTTTGTTGTAGCAGTTATAATGATGGCCTTTGGTGCCGCACCTGGATACAGACCGCGAAAAATAATTTTCCGGGCCGATCACAGCTTTATTTCACTATTGGTCTTCGAAAATAACGTCCTGTTTATGTCTAAGTTACAAAATATGAATTAGTTATATCTTCTATAAAAAAATAGAAGATATATTTTCATTGTTACAAAATCTTGAATTCCAGCACTGATCACAGATTTTACACGCTTCTAATTTATTTTAACACACTATTGTTATAGAAGAATAGGTACTATTGTCTGTAGATGTTGTATTGTAGTGCTTAAAATCAAAATTTAGCACGAATTATCGTAAAATTTTTAGTTCTTCTATTGAAGTCTTTTTTGATACAATAAACGGATTTAAATTATCTTTGGAATAAAAATTTTCATTTTTTAATATAATCTTTGTTGTCGCAGATGTGATTATGGCGCCAGGTGCCGCGCCTGGGTTCAAACCACGAAAACTGATTTTCCGTGCGGATCATGGTTTTATTTCATTAGTAGTTTCTCAAAATAACGTCATCTTCATGTCTAAGCTAGAAAATATGATTTGGGGCATGAATTATACAATTATTCGACTTAGTATTTAAACTTAGGATTATATAGAAATAATTGAATTGAAAACTATAAGTTACATTTTAATTTTTACAAGAAAGTAACTTCCAGCACGTTTTTCACGCTTCTAGTATGCGAACACACTATTTTTTTTTTGTTCACTAGTGCATGAAACTAAAGTGTGAAGCACTTTTTGGTAAAACACAAAATAAAAAAATATAATGTCCTTATTTTAACAGTTTTAATGATGGACGGTGGTGCCGCCCCTGGATACGAATCACGGAAAATTATTTTCTTGGCTAATCATGGCTTTATTTCTCTATTGCTTTTCCAAAATAACGTCTTATTCATGTCCAAGCTACAAAATATTAATTAATTAGTTAGTTGATACTAACGCCTGAAATGGGATCAAACTTTTTATTGTTGAAACTTCACTTTACTTTCAATATTATTTTTAAAATGCAATAAGAACAGATGATTCTTTATTGTTATAGAACTAGAAGTTGTTTTCTATTCCCTGCAAGATGAAGAACTACCAAAAGAATTCCGTGCTGACCATGCTTTTATCACGCTTCTGGTCCATGGACACACTATATTATTTATAACAAAAGTGTTTGAAACCAAATTTTAAAATATTTTAGTATTAACTCCTTCTATTTTAAAAATTATGTATTTTGTTATCGTTGGAAGGGTTACCACTTTTAGTGATTAGCCTCAATTAGGGTCTATCTTTGCACAATTTAGATTAATTGTTATTTGCAAATGGAAGTGATGCTGTTTTATATTTTATAATTTTTTTAAACAATTCTGAATATACTGTTGAAACACAAATTTAAATAATTATGAAGCAGTATATCAAAATCAATATTCTAATTAAATATAAAATCATTTTCCGTGTCGATTGCGTCTTTATTTCACTATTGGTTAAAAACGTGGTGCATGAAATGGGATTTAACCTTTTTTGTTAAAATTTTAGTTTACTCTAAATATTATTTTTAAACTGCAGCATGTAACCAAATTCTCGAACACTTTATTATCAAATTCTTCTATTTTAAAACTGAACTATTTTGTTGTAGCCGTATTGATGGTACCCTATTCAGCCGTAATTGGTTTCGAACCGAATAAGATTTTCCGTGCCGATCACGCCTTTATTTCTTTGCTGGTCTTCGATAACAGGGTTCTATTCATGTCTAAGCTCCAAAATACCAAATAGCACGATTTAAATTAATTGTTATTTGCAAATGGAAGTGATATTATTTTATATTTTATACTATTTTTTAAACAATTCTAAATGTACTGTTTTTAATTTACGTGAAACACAAATTTAAATAATTATGAAGCAATATATCAAAACCAATAATCTAATTAAAAATAAAATCATTTTCCGTGCCGATTTCTTCTTTATTTCACCATGGGTTTTTGAAAATAACGTGGTGCATGAAATGGGATTTAACCCATATTAAAATTTTAATTTTCTCGGAATATTATTTTTAAACAGCAGCATGAAACCAAATTCTCGAACAT